AAAGTACTAACCTCTCGACAATTAACTCTAGTGATGTTTTCTGCGGTTGTTGTGGTGGTGGAGGTGGTCTCGCTTGCTAACCTTGATTCGATCTTGAATTCTGAGCATAACTGAAATTCGGATGATCCCTCTATCCTGGGTTATATGTATTACCGTAGGGATTGTAAGCTCTTTGGGGAGGTCATAGAAAATTCCTGACTGCATTAACTTAAACTGTTGCGTCATCTTGGATCAGTGGACAACCGTCTGTTGGATAATCAGGTAAAACACATATTCCACACGATCTATTTGATCTTATCTTTCCTACAACTAGATTTGACGACTTCAGTTAACATATCTATTTTATTTTCTAAAGAATAAGAACTTATCTCATGAACCCTTCGAGGAGGTTCATTATTTGTGTGGAACTGTTGGGAATTTATAGCCATTGTGGAAATTAAGTCCCTAGCCTCAGTAGGAGTCATATTCACCAAGGCTCCACCGCTGGCAGCACCGATCATCTTCTTTCCAGGGGAGTTAATCATTCATAAAAGTATTGAAGGAGTGTTTGTTCAGTTAACCCATGTTGTGGGCAACTAGAACATAACTTTTTGAAACTCTCCCAGTAGTCATAAAGCGACTCTCCATCAAGCTACTTGATTCCAAGTATTATCCTTTCTAGTTCACTTACTTTCGCCGTAGGGAAAAAACTGTCAAGAAAAAGACGAGTCATTTGAGCCCATGTAGTAATAGAATTAGGGGGAAGATAAAATAACCACTCCTTAGCCGAATCAGCTAAGGAAAACTGAAAAGCTCTAAGTTTTATTTGGTCATCAGTTACTCCCTGTGGTCTCATGCTAGAACAAACCATGTGAAATTCCGTGAGATGTTTGTCTGGATTCTCGTTCAATAATCCGCAGAATGTAGGGAGGAGATGAATAAGGTTGGTTTTTAACTGGTATGGAGTTTCGCCTTGGGGAAAATCAATGCACAAAGGCTCATATTCAGTGGGTGCCCCGGTTAACTCCTGAATAGTAGGATCGACCATCAGAATTAGTTATGTATTAACGGATTCACCTGAATTTGATTCTCCTTTTGGATTTGATTATTGTCTCCTTCTTTCCTGAACATCTGTGCGTGAAGTCTCCTAGCTTTGGCTTCGATCTTCGGGTCGTACTCTACTAATATGCCCAGATTAGTCCTGGTCATAAATCAAAAGCAAACAAAATTTAGTAACTTTGGTGAAGTCTCTGGTAACGGCGCCAACTTGGCAACTGTAATTTTCTATGTCAAATAAAAATCCTTTTTCTTGATTAATAAATAAGGAAACACGTAGTACAGAGAAGTAAGGGTTGAATCCACAGGGACTTAGAAAATTATAAACTTATGTTCAATTTGTTTAAGCCAGGCGTGAAAGTAGTGAATGAGAGGTTTTGATAAAAATGATTAAGTAATAAAAGGGTTTAAAAATGATTAAGGTAAAAAAATGAGAAAAATAAAGATTTTAAATAGATTTGGTGAAAACAGCCTCAAGCTTCGCTTTGACTCAATTTCCTTTAGATTATCGAATTAGATTTTTCCTTCGGGATTCACGTCAGTTACTTTGTCTACAAGGGCTATCCCCGTGACTCTATTTGTATACCGAATGCCCAAGGCAATCTTTGATTCCAGCTTCAAAAATTGATCTAATCAACATCAATCATTGTAGATCAATTACCGTTTAAGTTCATGGCGACCGACTCGGATTGTTGCTTCTATAACTATTAATTCTGATCTCAATTCCCACTTGGTGAAGCTATATCACCAAGTGTGTTCCCAGGAAGTCGAATGTGCTTTCTATAAGCCGAATCTTCCTCTCACACGTTTAATCACAACAATAATCTAGACCAAAGTCTATCTTTGATTTTGAAAAATCTGTTTTGATTTTGAAAAATAAGCGCAAAGATTGAAAGAGATATTCTGAAGATATTAAGGGCCTGTTTCAATTCTCCCGATGGAATTGAGTCATCGCTTCAGCGCTCGACTTATGAAAAATTTAGTTAAGCATGACAAAAGTCATACTTAGCATATTTAAAAATAAGTTGAAAATAAAAGTAAAAACGAAAAACTTGAAAAGTAAAATAAAATAAAATAGAAAGCTTTAATAAAACTAAAAAGAATAAGAGAATTGTAATATGAGATGTGTGTTTAGGCTTACCCCAAGAGAGTTTTTATAGCCTCTCAAAGCCTAAGGATAAACAAAGAAATTAAACTAAAATAATCCTAAAGATAATTATTTTTTCTAAATTCAAACTTTAAACTAGTCTCATAATGCAACTCTACTTGTCCATCTTCCAGAATACGCGCTGAGTAGATCTTCTAGAAACCGCCGCTGACTAGACCTTATAGAAACCACCACTGATTGGACCTTCTAGAAATTACCACGTCAGACCGCGTCGTGCCCATGTCTCCAGTCGTGACCAAATAATAAGAAAATACAGAATGCGTCCGTTTTATCACTAATTCTGGAAAGTAAGACCCTGCACGAAAATAAGCATAACACAACCAAATAAGCAATAATAAATCCACAAGATTAAAGAAATAACGAGCAAATATTAACTATTCTAAACACTCATCATGTGCCGATACCATTTTGGTTTTCTGAAATTGCATCTTAAAAATGGTATCGATACCACCAACTCAGTATCGATACCCTCTTCAACTGGTATCGATACTACCCTTAAGAAATACACAAATTTAACCCTTGAAGTATCAATAATGTTCTAACGGTACCGATACTCGAAGCGAGAATGGCCATTTTTCACTTCGAAAATAACCCAAAACCCTCCTAAATCTCTTATATTCATCACACCTTAAGCCTTTAAACTCACCATTAAAACTAATTAAACCATAGCTCTGATACTATTAAATGTAACACTCTTAACCCGTACCCGACCCGGATATAAATCTAAGGTGTCACATTGACTTTTCAAAACATATGTAATTAACAAATAAGAAAATTTTAAAATGTTTGATCAAGATAAAAAGTATAAACCTTAATTTAAATAAGAAAATCATTTCACATTCATATTTACATAAAATTTGATAATGTTCAAAGTTAAAAAATATATAAGTTTACAAAATAGACCAGAGCAATTTTAAATTAAACGTATAATGCATGCCATCAATTTACAAAATTAACAAAAACCTACATTTAATTTGTCTTGATCTGATCTTCACGATATGCTATCCTCGACAACTCAGTCTTCCGCTTTCCTCAAACCTGCGCGTGAGGAAATCACACGCTAAGTTGATGACTTAGTGAGACAAATACTAATAGTGCTAACTTAGTAAACGAAATCTTATTTGTTTTTATCAAAACATTTTACAAAGAACTCTCATTATTTTCCATATCAAAAAGTATACTTATGTATATTATTCACTTTTTTTCAAATGCCCAATGTATACTACTGAGAACTCTAGATATTTAAGTACATTGAGGTTGTGCACTAATGTTGTCACCACAGCTCGTAATTTGCACCGAAGTGCCACATAATTGTCCCAAAGGACCACAAAGGATTGCACCGAAGTGCCACATAGGTTTGCACCGAAGTGCCACATAGGTTTGCACCGAAGTGCCACATAGGTTTGCACCGAAGTGCCACATATTTTTCTCGAATGACCACATAATTATCCCAGAGGAAACATAAAACCCTCGACTCTTGGCATGCCAACTATACCTCTAATCCTCATACATGTTATTAATCACATAATTATTTTTACTTATTATTCGAAGTGTCTCTTATTCACATAGAGTCTTATCACATACTTGTTCAAAGTCACATTTCCAATATCATATAATCATAAAACATAGCTTATATAATATAATTTAAATAAAACATTACAATGTAACATAAAGGAAATTGTAAAGTTTTAGATCGAAAGTAATGAGGTTGGCTTATCGTAAGCCTTCCTCAATTCCGTTACAAAACTGAGAAGTTGCACTCACCTTTGCCTCACTGAAGTCCTAAGCGATATCCTTAACACTTTGGAATCGGTACTTAATAAGTCGAGGTGACTGGAAGTTGATTACGATCAATCACTACATAAAATAATCGAAAATTAATATCGTTCATCAAATCGCTTATATCCAATTAGAATAACTTATGATGAAATAAACCCTAACTTTTCCTTCATGCATAGAAGTATCAATACTACCTCTCCAATACCGATACTTTCCTTCAAGGGTATCGATACCTCCTTAAGGTACCGATACCATTTTGGCATTTTAAAATTGTATCTTAAAAATAGCATTGATACTACCAACTCATTATTGATACCCTCTTCAACTGGTATCGATGCTACCCTTAAGAAATACACAAATTTAACCCTTTAAGTATCAGTACTATTCTAACGATACCGATACTCATGTAGGTTATGTAAGTGTAAGGTTGTAGGAATTATAGAAATGAGCTGTCAATCCCTTAAGTTAAGAGATTCTGTAATTATTCTCTGTTTTTCAATCCCTTACTTCAAGGGATTACTTCTCCTAGGATTAGTATCTTTCCTAAATTAGAGTTTCCTAGTTTATAGGCATAATTTGTATATAATTATGTAATATGTTCTACTTAATATATACATGAATAAAATAACAGAGACTTTCCCTGTTTTCTATATGGTATCAGGTTAGAGCGATCAATTCAATTTCCACTTCTCTTTAAATCAATTCATGTTCAACTCAATTTTTTCATGGCTAATTCGTATCCCTTAGTATCCGAAATCACTTCCCCAGACTAGCCCCTCTCAATCTAATTTTCAGATTTCAAATTTTAGAGCAGCAGAGGAAAAATCACCATTGGTGTGAATATTGTAAGAAACCATGCCATATGATAGATCAATGTTGGAAGCTGCACGAAAAACCAGCCGATTGGCAACCCACATGGTCCATGTTTCAAAAGGAGGCCCATATTGTCTCTCAAGATGATTCCTCAAGAAGTTTTAGCAATAAACAGATAGAGGAGCTGCAATAGATTTTGAGCAGTATGACCACCAAGCCTACCAATGTGACTTATACTGCTACTGATGAAAATAATCTATATGCTTCCTCGGTACAATGGATAATAGACTCGGGTGCATCAGATATTATGAAAGGAAATATTGATCTCTTGGAAGAATATAGTGAAAGCAGCTTACCAGCTTCTATCAAAATAGCAGAATTCTCTCTCACTACAGTCAAAGGGAGTGGTTTTGTTACATTAAACAAAAATCTACTACTTCATAATGTCCTTTATGTTCCTAGACTTGCATGAAATATATTGCCAATCATCAAATTAATTAAAGATTATGGTTGTAATGTTGTGTTTGGTACTAGTGGTTATATTTTTCAGGCACAGGGTTCGAAGAGAGTGATTGGCAGTGCTAGGCTGGGCAAAGGACTGTACACCCTTGGAGGTAAAGCATCTCATAATCATGCCTTATCCAGTGCTTTTGGGAAACCAATTTTATCTTCTGATTTCAATACCAATAAAATTATGTTATGGCACTCTAGATTAGGTCATCCTAATTTTTTCTATCTTTCTAAAATGTTACCGAACTTATTTATAAATAAAGATTCATTTTTATTTTCCTGTGAAATTTGTCATATAGCCAAACACACCAGAAAACCATATATTGCAGCCAAATTTGAACCAACAACACTTTCTTATATCATTCATAGTGACATTTGGGGCCCTTCTCCTGTCTAAAGTATTTTTGGGTATAAGTGGTTTGTGTCTTTTATAGATGATTACTCTAGAACAACATGGGTATTCTTAATGAGAGAAAAGTCTGAGGTTGAGTCTCTCTTTAAAAGTTTTTATCAAAAAGTTGAAACCCAATTTGACAAAAAAATCAAAATTCTAAGGAGTAACAATGGGAGTGAGTATTTGAATAAAACCCTTCGGTATTTCTTTAAGGAAAAAGGCATTGTTCACCTTACTTCTTGTGTCAACACACCTCAACAAAACGGGGTAACATAAAGGAAAAATAGACATCTTTTAGAGGTTACTAAGTCTCTTATGTTTGCTACTAATGCTCCTAAGTATCTTTGGGGTGAAGCTCTTCTTACAATCAGTTACCTCATCAATAAAATGCCAAGTAAGACTTTAGATTTCAAAATTCCTACTAAGGTTTTGTTTCAGCTTTTTCCCCATTTTAAATATTTAAACTTAAGTCTTTCTCCTCGGGTGTTTGGGTGTACAACCTTTGTTCATATCCACAACATAGGAAAATTAGATCCTAGATCCATAAAGTGTGTGTTCTTGGGCTATTCTTCGAGTCAGAAGGGTTACTCACCTTTCACAAAAAAGACCTATGTCTCCTTTGATGTTACATTTTTTGAAAAACAACCTTATTTTTCAGGAACATAAATTCAGGGGGAGAGTTACAAGGAATTTCAGCCTGTTCAAACCAATATTTCTTTACAGCCTATCCTTTCTTTACCTATTACTGTCTCTCCATAGTCGGCTAGCACTGTCCTAGTTCCTAGTGAGGGTGATGGGAATAACCTAAATAACTCTGATAAATTACCTTTTTACTTATCTCAGCACTCTAGTCCGTTCAAAACACCTTCCACCACTACAAAAAATACACCTAACAATGACCCTGAAACCATAACTCCCCAACCAAAATAACTCAATGTTTACTCAAGAAGAAGGAAATATGTTACTGAAGAAATCAGTCAGCCTAGCATTTGCCAAGAACCAGATTTGAATCCTGTTGCAGCTGAAATAGAAGGTAATAATGGTTACCAAGAGGCTACTAATGTTGATTTTGATGGCTTTCCTATTGTTATTAGGAAGGGGGTAAGAAAATGCACTGCTCATCCCATAAATAAGTATGTTGCATATGGTAAATTACTGTATAATTTCAGGGCCTTCACTGCTAGTATTAATAGTGTGAAAATCCCAAGAAATGTGACAGAAGCATTTCTATCACCCGAGTGGGAAAAGGTTGTGGAAGAGGAGATAAAAGCATTGCAAAAGAATAAGACATAGAGTTTGACAGATTTTCCAGAAGGGAAGAGATCTGTTGGATGCAGGTGGATATTCATAGTCAAATATCATTCGGATGAGAGTGTGGAAAGATACAAGGCAAGGATGGTTACTGAAGGTTTTTCTCAGTCCTATTGCATTGACTAAAAAGAGACTTTTGCACTGGTTGCAAAATTGAATACCATTAGAATATTGTTATCAGTAGCTGTTAACATGGACTGGAAATTGCATCAGTCGGACATAAAGAATGCTTTTCTGAATGAGAACCTGGAAGAAGAGGTATACATGGAGGTCCCATCCGGATTAGAAGGAAATGTCACTAAGAAAACTGTGTGTAAGCTCAATAGATCCTTATATGGCTTAAAACAGTCTCCCAGGGCTTGATTTGATCGATTTGCTATGGCTATGGAATAGAATGGTTTCAAACAAAGCAAAGCGGATCACAGACTATTCAGAAAAATTACACCGAGTGGTAAGATAACTCTCCTAATTATCTATGTAGATGATATGATTATAACTAGTAGTAATATAGAAGAAATAGAAAAGCTAAAGATGGATCTTACAAAGGAGTTTAAAACCAAGGATTTAGGTAGTATGTGGTATTTCCTGGGTATGGGAGTCGCAAGGTCCGAGGAAGGGATGGTCATAAACCAGCGTAAGTATGTTTTGGATCTTCTTGCATAAACTGTGATGCTCGACTACAAATTAGTTGAAACTCCAATGGAGCCAGGCTTGAAATTTTACAAGGAAAGGACTGGAAATCCAATAAACAAGGAAACCTACCAAAGGTTAGTTGGGAAGTTGATCTACCTTTCACTAACTAGGCATGATATTGCATACTCAGTGAACATTGTCAGCCAACATATAAGTGATACTCGAGAAGAACATTTGGAAGTTGTTAACAGAATTCTAAGGTTCTTGAAGTTTACCCCAGGAGCTGGACTTATATTTAGAAAAAATCAAGACAGAACAATGAAGGTTTATACGGATGCAATATGGGGAGGTGAATTAACTGATAGAAGGTCAGTTACTGGCTACTGTACATACGTTTGGGGTAATTTGGTGACTTGGAGAAGTAAGAAACAAGTCGTTGTCTCTCGAAGTAGTGCTAAGTTAGAGTTTAGAGCAATGACTCTTGGAATATGTGAAGGAATGTGGATTAAAAGACTGCTCACAGAACTGGACTTAGATGACAAGAAGAATTTTGAGATTTTTAGTGGCAGTCAATCAACTATGAGTATAGCAAAAAAGCCCAATGCAGCATGATAGAATAAACCCATTGAGATAGACAAACATTTTATTTACGAGAAGGTCAACAAAATTGTTGTACATTTCGACGAAAAAACAACTGGCAGATATATTATCCAAAGCCCTTCCATGAGTGACTTTTGATGAGCTGTCATTCAAACTGGGTATATACAACATATATACACCAGTTTGAGGGGGAGTATAGATTATGTATGTGTAAGGTTGTAGGAATTATAAAAATGAGCTGTCAATCCCTTAAGTTAAGAGATTATGTAATTATTCTATGTTTTTTAATCCCTTATTTCAAGACATTACATCCCCTAGGATTAATATCCTTCCTAACTTAGAGTTTCCTAGTTTAGAGGCATATTTTGTATATAAATATGTAATATGTTCTATTGAATATATACATGAATAAAATAACAGAGACTTACTCTGTTTTCTACAACTCAAAGCCCAGAATGGCCATTTTTCACTTCAAAAATAACCCAAAACCCTCCTAAGTCTCTTATGTTCATCACACCTTAAGCCTTTAAACTCACCCTTATACTTCCAAACCAACTTGTCATCGTTTAATACTCTCTAATATACAAAATCTCACTTAAACACTTACATCTAAAAATCATACCATGTTTTCAACCAAGCTCTTAATCAATTCTAATACTCCTAACCCTTTAGATGTCTCGTTGACAAGTCAAATGTCTCAATAAAACTTTAAAAACTATGCCATTTCAATAATTCATTTCAAAACCCATTTTACAAATCCATTTCTAATTTACACATCTTGTTGTTTTAATCCTATATAAGCCTTCCTTAAGGTTATATAACATTCAAACTTTCATTACCAAACCAAAAATTAAAGAAAATCCACAGATTTCATATTCTTACCTTTAATGGAGAAGCTCACAGCACAAAGAAGAAGAGAACAAGAGATGACTTTCCAGATAACTCTAAACCCACGTTTTTATCCCTTAAGTAAAGGAAATAATTATCTTTTAACAAGGAAAGACCATTTTTCCCTCTCTAATAATCCAAATTTTCTATTAGCCCTACACAAAAATTCCACCATAAATCCTTGTATTCATCAATTTATTCTAAATCAACCACTGAGTTTAAAATTCTTACTTTTTGGTCATTGACCCGAAGATTAGGATGTTACAAATGGTGTATGAAGACCTAATCTATATAAGAACAAATATGTAAAAAGACATATTAGGGATAGGCATAGGACCTGAACCCGACGGGTTTCGACCAGACCCGATCGGGTTAGATTTTTTTAAAACAAATTCGGGTTCGGGTCGGGTCGGGTCGGTTTTTTAATGTGATGTTCGAGTCGGGTCGGGTTCGGGTTTAGGGTGAGAAATACCCGACTAGACCCGAAAAAATATAATTTTACCATATGTATTTAGAAATAATTACAATAATACCCCTATATATATTATATTTTTTCAATTAAGTCATTGTTTTTATTGAATAATTTTTTTATTATTATTTCGAGTCGAGTCAGGTTTTTAAGTTATATATCGGGTCGGGTGAAAACTTGTTTTGATCAGGTCGGGTCGGGTCTTGGGTGGAGGACTCCTTATTCTCGGGTCGGGTCGGGTGGACCAAAAACCCGACCCGTTCCCATGCCTAAATTAAAACGTTATATGGATAAATAAAATGCTATTATATGTTATTAACATGCTGGTATTTATTGTGTAATATGAAAACACCAAGACTATATATGTACTCTATGTGGAATACACATATGCGTATGTTGATGCACAATGTAACATAGTGTATATATGAATGCATGAAATAAGCATCTAATGAGATGACCAAACTCAACTTTACCTACATGGCTAATATGAATATAAACCTAAAATATATATACATATATACGCAAGCCCTTTTAATGCATTTCGAATATAGTAACATAAAAATATAGATGTGAATGAAGTAAAAATTAATTACAAAGGAAAGAAACAAATCAGGAAAATATTAAATTAAATAATATACAACTCGTTTAATAATAGAAAAAGGGAAATATATTAAAAACTATAGAGGAAATCAAATACACAACTAATTAATAATAAAAAGTCAAATAAACAAGGAAACTAGATTAAAATAAATTTATGGAACATTGTAAAAGAATAAAAACAAATCAAAATGAATATCACAGTTAAATAACAAAAAGCAAGCATGAGGACCAAAATGAAATAAAAGAAACAGAAGTGTGAAAATCGAAATAATAGAAAAAAGAGCAATGGTGACTTAAATCTAAATATGTAGAAACTATGGAGGACAAAAGTGCAAATAAAAAAAATCATAAGGTTGCAATCGAAGGAAATCAAAGTGCGAGGTCTACTGATCAAACTGTAAAAACCTGGCAAAGGTTGGATGGCCTGAAAGAAAATAAACCAAATGTTAATACTGAGAACTAAAAATGGAAAACAGCAAGATAAGGACATTCAAGTCGAAATAAAAATGAAAAGAACACATCATGGTGACCAAAATGCAAACTGATGAAAATTGGGATGGCGGCGGACGTGATTTGACCATTACCTACCAAAACGCACGGGTATGGTCCAAAATGACGTCGTTTTGTTTTGAATATAAATACCCCTTTATCATTTTTTTTTCATTTTATGCTTATTATCTCTCTCTCCTTTTCAGAGTTCTCTCCCTTCTCTCTTAGCCTCTCCAAAATCTGGCGAGAGCCCAACCGTCGGTAGCCACACTAGACACCACCGGCCACCATCTTCGATGGTCGTTGGGTGCTATAAAAACATGAGGAGGTATATTTTGATGCCAGGAGTGCGGATTTGGGCTCGATTTCATAAAAATCGACGCCACAGAAAGTGACAAAAAATTTGCATTCCCTGACAAGTCCTACGATACATCCATGCCAATGATGGTAGTTGGATACTTAGAAACAACCGGAATTAAAGGTGTTTGATCAATTGCTAACATCGAATTTAACCCTCCAAATTTTGCATTGATTTTTTCAAATTCCTATCGCCCATTTAGCGGAAAGATAACTTATGGTTTCTTGATTCGTCTGGGTTTCTTGATGCACCAACCGCCATCCGAAGATGGCGTGATTTGATTGCGAGGATCGAGGGGGATCTCTGAAAAGTTAGTGTCCATTTTTATTTTTATTTTCATTTTTACTGTTTCTAATTTTCATCAACAAATAACCTTTAATAAAACACGCTGTCAACTTTTAATCAAGAGTTAAACTTGGTTCAGTGATTGGAGCTCTTAAATCTTATACATTCTAAGTGTGATTCTCATTGGTGTCAAATTATTTTCACAATTTTAAGTCTAATTAGATGGTGACACGTGCTATTATCTAATTAAAGAGAAATTATTGAATTAAATAAATTATAAATAAAACTATTATATATTTATAAATTAATTTAAAGTAATTGTAAGATATATATATATATATATATATTATTAATTGATCATAGATAAAACAATAGTGTTTATCATAACAAATAGAGGATTAAATTGTATGAGTCAAAAATAAATATGGGTTAATTTCAGACTGAATAATTTTTTAGAGATTAAACTAAATAAAATTATTATAATATAAAAGTATTGAATTAAATTACAAAATTTAGATGTAAATAGGGGTTAATTTTGGATTAAATATAATTTTGAGGATTAAACTAAATAAAATTAAAACTTAAGAAACTTAGCATACTATTTACCTTTTTTATCAAAATGAGACAATTAATATGCTACATGGCATGATCTTATTCGTC